TGTGCATCAGGGTTTAGACGTTGAACACGGCTAGTTACTCGGCAGCGTAGAATTCACCACCTGTTACCTTTTGTTATTCTCTAGTTATTCTTTGTTCTTAATATCTCATCTCTCCTCCTTATTCATTGAACTCCTCACCAGAAACATTGAAAACCACCACGGACTAGTCGTAGTAATAATGTGTCCAATTTGAACGTATACTAACCTCTCATGTTGTGAAGTGATTCAAGACCAAATTCTGCTAGAAAACTTAAGGTGAAAGAAAAAAGTGTAGTAAGATTAAAAGCGAAGATGAAGACATTGGGCATATAGAGATGGAGAATAGGTTTACGGACACCGTTGTTCGTGGTGTGCGACTGTTTCACGTTAATGTATCTAACCATCGGTAATTTGAGTCCGGTTGACTCATCTGGCTTACCTAACACTCCTTGGGTAACCATGTCCAGTGTTCAACGCTCATGGTGATTTCAAACATTTCCTGATCTAGTTGCCTCTACCCATCTTCCAGACACTTGCTGTCTCAATATTCGTTGTACTTGGGTGGATTGTCTTCGAGGGTTGACCAACTAGATAACCGTGCGAGATTTTGGCCACAGAGCCTAGCGAGTACTCGGCACTTCAAATGATTCATCACGCAGTATCAACCTTCAACTCACCACTCAAATCCATGTATATCTGTCTCATGCTACTTGTTTTGAATAATCTGCTACAGTGCACACCCACCGAACCCCCAATTGTGACTCAAACCCACGTGAATTCAGCATCCTGCATCTGCATTAGGAAACATGAAAAGCAACGCACTGATGTTTCCTCTCTCTTTGAAATTCCCAATCTTGTCTTTTTACTTGAAGTGAGAAATAGAATGCTCGAGTTTTACCTTTTCTTTCCCCCGCTCTTCGTATTGAATCTTCCTGAACTGCTTATGGTCATTCTACCTCGTTTTTTGGCATCCACATGTAATTACTCTTTGAAAGCTTTAAGAACTGAATTTTCTCTTCGTGACGGATATTTCCTCACATGCACTCCATTTCTTTTTCATACGAGGCCCAAATTCGCCCCATTCCTGGATACTACAACTACCTTTTGGACGAAGCCCCATTTTTTCTTTATCTCTTATCAACCGAGTTCAACACAAATTCACCCGTATTAAAGGACACTGCGCGTTGACCTCCACCAAGTAGTTTCTAGTCTGCCGCAGGGCAGATACCTCACTTCCTGGTATTCTGAGGAACTTGTTTCTTCGGTCTTAGAAATGCTCCCAAATGACGTGCGTCCCAAGCAGCCTCTGTTGAGGAAGTTCTACTCATTGCCCTCTTGCGGTGGAGGCGTTCCGACTAAAGTGAGAGGATGAAGGCGAATGCCCAGTGCTCTCCATCGGGTTGGCTGACTGGTAGTCAGTCTAGGGGAGATGGCGCAACCCCGATTCCAAACTAACCACGGGTGGCGTATGAGACGTACAACGGTTTGCTCGCCGGCACCTGTGACAATGGGGTGTACTGGGCGCCCACGATATTTGGCTTCATCCGAAAGGCGTATGAACTGAGCAATCTGTTAGCGACCCCCAGTGGGTTACGGACCCCGCGCTTCGTCCCACTGCGTTGCAGTTTAAGCTTTGGATATCTGAGGGCTCCGGTTGTAGACCCCTAAGAAAACCATCTGCTTTGGCCTGGAAAATCTGGCAGTATTGCGCTCGCAAACGGATTGTGGAATCGAACGCTATCAACTCCTTCCTCCTTGATCGTGCCATATTTTGTTTGGCACACAGCCTGAAACTAGGTGGTTGTTCGATCCCCGTTTCCCTCGCTTCTAATGAATTATCCCGTTAGAAGGAGCCAATCTATCCCCATCAAATGTATTTCTTAGTCTTTCAAAATCCCCAAGAATTTAAAAACTATGGACTATCCTTCTCCTTGTCGTTTCTCTTCTCTCCCACGATTACGCTATCAGACACGTAATCTGGATTTTACGTAAATGCCTTCCCGTTTATCACCTTTTACCAGGTCTTTAGACGTTGGGACTAACCCTCTCGGGTCTGTCAGGCTACAGAGGTCCTCAATACAATAGGAAAGAACATGCACAAATTGCTACATGTTGCAGTCACGTCTCAAGCGGTTCGAACCATCCGGCTGTTAGCAAACAGACAAACAACCAGACCACATGGTGTGGCTGATTGGTCAGTATAGTTAAGATCAATGGGTGACTAACACTGATACGATTGATTTTGCTCGAGATTATCAAAGTCAGAAGTAGCAGGTAGTTTCTTTCACGCTCTCATGTTCATGTCAAAAGGGTTTTCAACCATTGAAGTTACATAAAAAATATAGTGATACTCTGCAGTATGCTAGACCAAAGTTAAACAGAAACTAGGAAGTGAAATTAACTTACTTGTGTTACTACTAAGGATGTCAAACTTCATGCAAATTAGCCCCGTTGTTCGTAAAATTTTGTTGGGACGTTACTGATGAATAGATCCAGATCACAACTTTAAAAAGCTCTGATGTTTGGAAGAAGAGAAGCGGCTTATTTTATGTGGGTAGCTGAGTCAGTAAAAATTTCACCTTCAATTAACCCCTGGTAGCATTTAGACTCCAGTCTTCTCCCTCATTTCCCCCCGGACAGTTGTATTTAACTTTGAACGATTTTATATTCATGCATTTGCATTAGCAGATGTATTTCACGAAACTATTTTTCCAATCATTTAGTGGCTCATTGGGATCTTATATGGTTCTCCATAGCAAGTCTAAGGGCCTGGTTACCGGTTATCTCTAATAGCGCAATGGGCCTTCGAGGTTGTGGGATATATATCCCTTACACCTGTCTGAACAATTTAAGCACCTTGAGATAAGCACGATTTTCCACAGTTGTCTTCAGAACGACCAGTATTATGTTTTCTGGGTGATACAAACAGTAATATTTGTCGTCCTTGGTCGTATCCGGTTCCCCACGAGTGGGTGACACCCACGGTACACGGTACATAATGCCCTCTTTCTACTGAGTCCTGAGGCCTAGCAGGAAGCGTTCGACATTTTGCAAACTGATTGAATAATTTACTCAACTATACGCTGGTGCATGGCATTCACCAGTTAACTTTCTGAATCCGGCAGGAATCTGTGACACTGTGATTTACGCGGGCGACTACTATGGTCCATTTGTCCGAAGCTCGTAACTCAGTTGGTAGAGGTACTAAAGATCCTAAGGTGTGAAGTAGATAAGTTTTGTTTTCTGGGCACTTAGATCTCACTTGGTTGTCGGAACTCGAGTGAAATGTCATCACATAAACAAAAAGCACTTTGGGATTTTACCAGTCTGTGTCACCTATAGCGTCAAAGTTGCATTTGTTTTTTCATCATGGGTGGAGTATACATTGTGGCAGTTAGATCCGGCTTCTTATTCGGATCATAAACTTGGTCGCTATGGCTAGAAGATACATGAAAACTGCTACTGTCTAAAAAATGTTCTTGCAGTAATCCTCGAAAGGACAGAAATATTCGTATCAGCTCTGGTGAGGTTTAGCGTAGGGTGCTAGGAACCAGAGGTCAGTCATTGCAGCAGACGCTTGGTCTAAACTGGCTAAGATGGTTGGGATATGTACTACGCATGCCCACAGATAGAATTCCTTCTTGTGTATTGTTCTCTGAGGCAGACAGTGGTTAGAGGGTGGGTCGAGGTGGTTGGTCCATGGTATGAAAACCTTAACCAATGGATTTGCCCGAGTCGGACGTGTGTGGCTCCCTGGTTGGGGTCTACGAGATCCGCCTAATGAATAATTGGAGGCAGACAACAGCATTGTGTCCCAGTCGGTGGCGTTTCCACATTCCGACTCTTTCTTTGCATGCATGATTTCCACTTTGCTTTTTGGAATTTGATCATTATGCTTTAATTCATTTCACCCTCGACTAGATGATGGTACGAGGTATCAACCAAAATCAGGGAACAAAATGGCAAGGTTATTAGTTTAAAGAACTGAACTAAATATAACCAAGTATGAGTGGTGTCTGAGGATGGGTTGTAGCCTCACACAGGTCGATGAGTTTTTCTCATTTGAAACATAACATTTGCCGAAGTCTAACAGCCACAACTTCGTATGAACCGCATATATTGCATCGCCCTTCAATGATTGTATCTGAATCATTTTCAGTTCTTGTCAGTCAATCAGTATCGCCGCACCCGTGTGTTCTGCTATTGATTACTATCTCCCTCAATGACCCTGTCGGACCAGAGTACAGAGGCGGAAGCTTGAGAAATTAATGGGTAAAATGGAGAAAGGCACAAGCTCTGTAGAGGAAATTTGCGGGTTCTGTTACCAAGTACAAAAGCTTAAACATTTCAACATTAAACGGAGTTATATTTCTCTTTTCGTTTCTCAGTGTGTTTTTCCTGTTCTCTTCCACTCTTTCCTTGCAAATTTTGTTCGTCTGCAGAAGAAATATTTCAAGATTAATTTTCGAGGACTGTCTATTATTAGTTGAGTATCTTTCACATCAGTGAATGAACTATCTGTCAAGTTGTGCGAACCGCGCCTGACCGCATGTGAAAAGTTGGCGCACAATTATTTCGGATTCCATTCACAGTTTATGCAGTGAAATGTCCAAATGTCACTGTAACGCATCTGTGCTTTCGGCTTTTCCATCCTTACCTCTCGCCCACCTCACATGCAAACAAGTCTGCAGAAACTTGACTGTTCCTTATCTGGCTGGAATCCTCACGAGCCGGGGGCATGTCTCAGCTGAATTTCTCAGCAATTTCTGATCAGTAATTATTATTTTTCTATTTCTTCCATTTAGTGCTATGTGTAGATCTATTTTGATTGAAATGCGGATGTCTGTCTGCGCAAATACGAACACGTAAAAGTCACGTAGGAGATGAAGAAGTCTGAATTTAACTGTAGCTGCGTCGAATCTCCCCAACCGTCCCTTAGGCGGATATTTTGACACTGAGGTGCTATGACGTCATTTTCTCAGTAGATTTTCTTTAATAATCACAGTCGTCCAATTTCGTAGCTTATTTTCCAGTCAAACTCCCCCCAACCGTATCATCTCGAAGCTATTGCTGAAGAATTGGCTCAAATCGGTGACGAATTCTATCAGGAATTTGAATATGCAGAAGAACCCTTTTCTGCGCACGAATTTCTGCAACTTCTGAACGAAGTTACTCAGCGACGTGGATCTTCCACCAATAACATTGAGGTTTGTGATGATTCTCTTGCCCAACTTCATGTTCTGTTCCTTCACAAGATCATATTCACCAACACCAATGTGTGTAAGCCGTTTTCTAAGACGAATTTAAGATATATGCAAAACTTTTTTCGCATGCAAGCCGTCACGCGGATGGTAATGATCTGATTCGGAAAACAGCCTCATAGTGAGGCCACCACTTTATGGACTAAGGTCATCAAAAATCCACATAAGCTTCCACTTTTCAGATTTCCCTAGTGAGACGGAACCAAATCGGCTAAGCTTTGTTTGTTTTGATGCTTACTCCATCGACGGAACTTTGACAGCGTAATCTTGTGACACTCATTTGTATTTATATGGCACACTTTTGCAAGCGATATGCTTAAATTTCGGTCAAAATGCTCTGACAAGACTGGGATGAAAGTAAACAACATATACAACAATGGACGCTAAGGGTATGTGAGAGTGAAAAAGGAAAAGAAAGTAATTCTGCTTCACTCTTGTCCTTGTTGGTCAGTAACCGCGCCAAATGGGGCACAAGAGAATTTTTGTATACGTTAGTTCTGGAAGAAAGGTGTCGAAATTCAGATCTGGTTGATGAGAGAGAACGACGAAGAGATAAGTCGGAGTGTAATGGATGCTTTGGATCCCATAGTATCTTGTGGGCCAGAGCTACGCAAGATTCAATATGTTGTTTGACTAGTTCAGTCAAAAGAAAGTCAAAGGGGAGGGATGAAACACGGCCAATAATTACCAAACCGCGGCGAAATGCTTTGAAGTCTTGCTTCAAAAGACCAGGAAAAAGTACAGATGAACAGTATAGTAAGACCGGGAGAACACGTTGATAAACGAATTTGAAGACCATTGTTGGTGGAGTACGAGACTGCCTGAGTTTTCTTATTTGAAAAGATCGGTGTCGCAGTTTACCGACACAATACTGAATGTGGTATGTTCATCGTAGATTGGTGTCTAGGGTGACACCCACATAATCGACGGAACTAACTCTGGGTAGGGATTTGGAATTCAGTGTAACAGGATCAGTTGGGAAAGGTGAGCGAGAGTGAAAACGCATTCAAGGCATCTATGGGGATTCTGTTCTAGACCCAAATGGTAAGATAAACATTCTATTCTATATTTTTTTATCGAATTTCCTGAAATGTGGGTAGTTAGAAATAACTTGACAGAGGACAACATGGTCAGCATATTTAAATATGTTGGGTGGAGAAGAAACTGGAAGATCGGTAATATAGGTTGAAAATAGAAAAGGAGATAGCACTGCATCCTGGAGTACACCGGCATTGTTAACAAGTGGTCTTACCCGACCTTAGTTTGCTGAACTCGATTATGAAAATAGTTCGGTAGCCAGGAAAGAAGTTGTGCGGGGCAGTCAAAAGCTTCAAGCTTCTGGAGAAGACGAGATCAGCGTACTGAATCAAAGGCCGAAGAATATTCAAGGAATATGCAGCGGACAGATTGCTCAGAGTCGTTTCAAGATTTAATGATGGAATGGACTCAGTAGGCTACAGCAGCAAGGGTAGGTCTTTTGGGTTTATAAGCAAACTGAAAGGGGTCAGGTGGCACATTGAGATGCGTTTGAAGACGGATGAAAATAGCCTTTTTAGTGACTTAAAGTGCGGCAGATGTGAGGGCACTGGATCGAAACTGTTTAACTCCACCAGAGGTGTTGGAGCCTTTAGGAAGTGGAACGATGGTAACTGGACGCCACAGATTGGGAATCAAAAATCTGGATAGAGAGTCATTTATCAAAGTAGTGGTCGATGTTGCCAGTTAGAATCACTGGAGGAAGGCCATTAGAACCAGCGGCCGACGAAGTTTTGGATCTGCAAAGAATTCTAACGATGGCTATAGTAGAGAAAGGTTCAAGGTCAGCGTAAACTCAAAGGAAATACGAGGGAGGGATGTATAAATGTAGAACTGAGGTGGTTCGCATCGACCTTATCGTTTGTGTATTTGGTCTTGTGGCCGCAGCGTAGCCTTATGACACTTTGAATGGTTACTAAGCGAGCTCCATTGAAACGAATGAGATGTTTGTTGAGAATTGTAAAACTGGGTTCCACGATGCACTCGCGTTAGCAACTTGCCTGGTTAGAGATATATTTTATCATATTCATAGAAGTAACAAACAGAATTCAGAGGAAATAGTCGGTCTCAGGATATTCCGGTTATTATAGGATGATTTGTTATGCACTACCAACGTTCTGTATTCGTCATGGATCCCCACCGAAATGGAGTTTGTCAGATAATCGGTTGTTGCACGTGTACGATAGTGGTCTTTTTCAGAATATCATGAGTGGTTTCTGTATGAACTAGTGTTGACACGAACCTATTGAGGGGCATTTCGGTAACGAAGTAGTAAACGCCGTTTTCGGTCTGCGAACGAGCTACTCGTAGGTGATATATTAATGCTCGTAGCCAGTAGGCACGGAACAGCTGTGCAGTGCTTCTACGGCTGTTCGATTGCGTTTGTGAAGCTAATTCTGCATGATAAATCATGCTGTAAAGTAGGTAAGAATGTTGTTCTCAAAAATACAAATAAAGAAGAGCATAATTCATCGTATTGCTAGTCACACAGAAGCCTAATTTTCCTGAAAAACCTTGCGCGTATCAAACCATAACAATTTATCTCCAAATTCAAGTACGACAACCTTGGTCAGATTTTACGTTGTATTTAAGTCCACTGGTGATTCTGTGCAATGAGGGTCACATGGCTCAGTGAGAATAACTGATATGCTTATCTGCTATCAGTTTTTGTACTGTGACTGACAGGGTCCACAGAAAATTAAACAAGTGAAAGTATGCAAAAAGTAAAATAGAATGATTTTCTTGGTGTCCTCAAACATATCATTTTCCGGACATCCACAATGCACTAAGAAGTCATTTCCAGAATCAAGAAGAATTTAGAGCGATCATAATTTTTACCACGAGGAACATGAACTGACGTTCATTATGCTGTTCATTTTTCTACTGATGATACTGAAGGGCAGCAATCAAAATCGATACGATGAAATGCGAGCTTGATGATCAAAAGAAACTGGACCGAAACTGATGAACCACCGATTGTCTCTGGTCTACCCGTTTATATTCCATAGCGAGTGTCATTGGTTACGGACGTTGAGGGACATGGCTGAGAGTAGAAGTCATTCGCATGAACACTGTATGGTTTGTCTGTTGAACTCCCGTTCCCCGTAAGCACACACACACACAACAAAATAATACATCAAAACGTGTACGGTGGAAATGATATCCGTGTTTTCTTTATTTACCAGCCACTCTCTTCCATCCTGTTGTACCTTACCCTTTACGTTACCTTGTTGTGTTTCTCTTAACGTTGTTGCGTCCATACCGATTTCGATCTATTGATCGTTCTAATTTCAGCATTAGTTGTTTCACGGTAACTTGCTCAACTCCCGTTCTCGTGTTATTTGAATACTACATGTACTACGCTGCTTTGTTTTTTTGCTTTTTTCATATTCATTTTTCAGAATAGATCAAGATTTGGGATTATTGTCAGATATTCTGTCGTATTTTCCCTGTGCGTTGGGCTAACAGTAGCCTGGTTCTACTGTCGGACGCGATGACTGACTTGTTTACACCGAATGGAGATCGCTCCATGGCACGTCTGTACGCTGATCACGCACGTAAACGAGCGGTCGATCGAGCAGTGATGATGATAAGGAAAACAGAAGAAATGATCTCTGTTCCTCGTGGTTACGCGGCACCAAAGTTAATACTCTATGGCTCAAATTTGGTACCATTTCCACTCACTGAACCGTTACCTTCAAGCAGTCATGGTCACCTTGGACGAAGACCAGCATTTTACATCAGAAAACGTTAAGAGAAATGACTATTTTTTGATATCTTGATATTTTGTAAATTCCTCCTCGTTTCCCTTTTCACTCTGCAATAATGGCAAATAAAAACTGTAGTTCAATTGTAATATTACATTCTCGTTTATACGACAACTTTCGATACGATTACTCATGCACATAAAGTGCGCGGTTCCCTGCTGTTACAATAATGAAAACAAAGTAAGAATTTCGGAACCGTTCAAAACGACAAACAGCGTTTGACTTCATTAAACACTGCTGATAAGGAGCATGTTACAGCCAGTCTGAGGGTCGCGACCCATGTTTCATATGTTTGTATGTCAGTTACAAAATAGCTTTTACATATGAAGTCAAATTTCGCAGACTTTCAAGTGAACCCAGTTTATTAATTTAATCACTCCGCAGATGATGTCTAATCGGAGATGAGAAGGAGAGAGTGGCTGACATATGATCCCGAAAAAGAGCAGTGATTTTGATGCCAACCGGAGTAACGCTTTTGTGTTGTGTGAAAGGAAACATATATCTTGTTTTAAGAATCTAAGACCGCTCATTTAGTTCTCAAAAAACATAGCCATCTAATTAAATCAAGCGTGGAATTTTTGATGCATCTGATTCTGTCGTTGAACTTATAATCTTAGAGGAAAAGAGAGCACATTCACTTGAAAATTCTGATTTCATTTTTAGCAATCATTCTCACAACTCAACTACCATTGGGCTGAAAGAGTGGTATTGATTGCTTGGACAGATGAACAAAGCAATCAGTGCTCCTGCAAGAGATACGCCTCGCGAAGCGCTTTTGAACTTGGGACGTTTGGTTGCATTAGTTAAAATGTTCGACAGTTATCTCACGTTTCAGCACCAAACGTTTACGGACGAACGGCGAAATGCCAGTACACATCGTTTGCACCTTACGAAACAGGTCACAGGGCAGGTTGCGGGTTTGGCGACCACAGCATAACTACCGGAACCACACAATGACACGGTCGGGTTCGCTTTGGTATGCGTTTTAACATGCACGCGACAGCTTGAATGCGTGTAGCACGCAGCCCTGTCACATGACTCGTTCCAATGTCCAGTGCAGCTATTCCTATCGCGATGCAGCGATCGATAATCGGAATTGACGTGTCAGCCGCGGCGGTTCAGTTGCTCGCCCAGGGCAGTCTAAACAATGGCGGATGTGGTTGATCGCAGTGATTTGGAAGCGGTGAGAATGGAACTAGAACAAATCGATCGCAAACCGGTCTTGAGAAAGGTTGCCCGCGCTAGATAAATCGTCGTCTGATTACCAACATATCAGGAAACACTTACTGAATGTCAAGCATTTGCGTACCTAAATAATGGGGAATCAACTTGCATGTCTGCACACCTGTTGGTTTATAATTACAGAATTGGGCATAGAAACGCTTCCGAAAAATTGCAGACATTGTGTTTCCAACGAACAACAGTAGTGTTTTTTAGTGTTGATATAAAGTTAGCTATGGTCAAGTCAGAGGGGAAGATATTTGTAAAAGGTCGAAGGGAAATTCTGAATGCACTGATGGAACAAAGTGGTATACAGGAAGTGCACCGGGTATGACCGAGTCGTCATATTTCATCCATAAGTTGGTAAGTCAACTGTTGTTCAACAACCGCACCGAAAGTCCTTCATTCATATAAGTATAATACTTTGAAGCCTAGATCACTGGTGTTAATATCTGATGTCGACAATATGAAGACTCCTACTCAATAGATGCAAATTAACGGAATGGAGCAAACAAGAAAGATGGGTATTCTTCTTCCATTTGCAAAAACTGACTCATTGTATGGACGAAACATGCTTGTGGCAGCTTTCTAGTTATTGGCCATCATATATATTGATAGTAAGTGGTATGTAGACGTGTGGACAAAATTCCCCCGGAAGCACACGACCGGCTTCGCGGTTATTGCCGCCCATCAGTTATGCGTACCCGGTACTCCTCTGCCCACACGTTTACATACTACTTACCACCAATATGAGCGCTTGCACGTGCGGCCTCGTTGTTCGTTGGGTTAGCAGTGATCCAGACACAAATGGCTATCAGAAATCACACTTGTGATTCATTTGTGGGCTCTTCAATGAAGTGTATCCATTCACACTCCAGACGATTCAAATTAGATCATAGTATATATATAATCAGTGGCTGATGCCATGTACTAACGTAATGTGGGCAGGTAAACTATGATTCATATGCGAAAAGTCTGGAGTCCTTCGGTATGGCTTCATAGCTCAGCTGGAAAATGCATCACACGCGTGGGTGTCGTCCATGTGTGGATTCGAATCTCACTGGGGTCAGTAAATTTTAGCATTTAGATTCATTCGAAATTTGTCGATTCTGATAAGTCGCGTTTCATATACACAGGTGGTTGCTAATGCAGGTGCATCAGGAAACTTTGAAGCGAAAAGTGACAAAAAGAGAGCTAGTCTCGTCGACTGAAAAATACGTTACAGACGATGAGCTGACTGGTTTCTTTGTCTGACCTACATCATCATCAAACACATTTGCTTTCAAAGTGAGCAAACTGCACTCAAGAATAAACCAAACTCTTTCTACTCAAATGGTTGAGACAGTAAGCTCAGTTTTTCTGAAATGCCACTCGAACAATAAGCCAGATCACTGGTAGGCGGTTGACTATAGAAGACAGTCGCTATCGTGACGATCAGTTGCGTAACAGCGAAAATGAAGTGTGGGACTCTTCACTTAATGTAGGTGAGCATCGGACCATTGAAAGCTACTCTGGCATCAAAATGAAAAAGCAAGCGGAATTTTTGTGGCAAACTGTACCCTTATCGAATTCCTTACTGGAGATCCAAACCAAACTAAACAGACTCGTGAAGTTTTCAAAATGTTTTCTTAGTAGGGCGTAGCTTGACTCGGAAATATTGAACATTCTCTGAACACTGGAACTCCTATTAGTATTACAGTATTCAGTGCCGCTAAGGTTCTGGGTGTAATCTTCGATGTGTAGTGGTTTAAACGTTGAAAACCCTGCTTCGAACCTGAACGGTAAGCCGCTTGGCGATTGAGGTGTCCGGATATGGTATGTAATTTGTGCCTTACAAGTGCGAAGTGCTTTTGTAAGACTGACAGGAGCCTGTGCCTGGAACCATCCTAGGTGGTGATGAACCAGAGTGAGTCGATAACTATAATTACCTCGGGAGCTTGATTGTAGCTGGAGACGGCGTTAGAGAGCAGATCGCATCACTAGTAACGAAAGCCAGGGCAGCTTCCATCAGTCTGCGACGCCTGTGGCACTGCCGTGACACCCGATTCAAGACGGGTTTACAAGGCCGCGGTTCGCAGCGCTTTGCTTTATGGTTACGATGCTTAACCACCCCGTGATTATGATACTCAGCGGGTTTCCGTGTTTGAACACCGACGCCTCCGGGACGATTTTCGCTTCTCGCGGGAACATGCAGTGAGCAATGACGAAGTTCGTCACCGTATTTTGGGTGCAGACAGTGGTTCTCTGAGCGCGTCAATCACTCTACACCACCTCCGACGGCCTGGGTATTTTTTTGTGAACACGTGCTCGTCGTCTTCCTTTCCATGCTTCATTTGCGCGTGCTTGGCAAGGCTGGAAGAACCGACGCAGTGGTCAAGCCGTCACTTGGCGTGGGAGTGTGCCGAAGCCAGCATCTGCACTGATTTCGGTTGGTGCTTCCCGCCTTCCTCGTTGGGGTCTACGTGAGTGACATGGCTCAGAATAAAGGTCGCTGATACGAATACTGTACCGTCTGTTTATCTCTCTTATTCTATGAATAAATAAAACTGTCAAAAATAAAAACTTTAAAAAGATGTACGGTTAAAAAGCGAAAATGGTGTATCCTCTTAATAAACGTTTTTCTGTCTCTGTTGCTTTTTATTCTTCTCATTTTGTCACTACTGTTGTTGGTCCGTAGGTATCATGTTTGATTTCCAGGCGAAGTAATATATATATATATATATATATATATATATATATATATATATATATATATATATATATATATATATATATATATATATATATATATATATATATATATATATATATATATATATATATATATATAACCATATATATAACCAGGATATCAAAACCCAGTTGCCCTAACACTGACATTTGTTTTTTTATCTCAGTCCACAGGACGCTCAGTACATTGTTTTTGATAAGAAGCCCATCCAAAAATAGCACAGGGTTGTGGTGTCATTTACATATTGTTTGAGGCTGACTTGGAGCCATGCTATTTAAGACCTTGACGATGCGAACGTGTCTGCACTCGGAGTGGTGCACTATAGTTTGGCGTCCATCAACGAGAACAAGATTCGACCAATCGGGCTTATCCGGGACAACGCTACTAGATAACGGCATCGTGACCGGACGGCACATGGTCTACCAGTGGTGTTACACGTTGCTTCACACATAAACGAGTGGTTTGAAAATAAAATGCAGTGGAGCATACCCAGATATCCGATGATCTGAGTTTTGAGTGCGTCTAGTTATGGGCACGAACCACGTTAGTTCAAGCAATGTTTCGCGTTGACCTGGGTGTTGAAGATTCGATCACCTGATGTCGGATCGAGCTGGTGTCCACGATCAAGAAGGCTGCTAAAAGACTCATGACTGTGACCTTAAGAGGTACATAAAAACGAATTTCTTTTCCTAACTTTCTAAAGTTTTTTCTGTTTATCATTGAGGATACCATGATAAAAAGCGGAGTACACAACAGGCTATGTAGTGCCATCAAACATACTGTCTAGAAAGTACCAACAATGTGAGCACGCAAAAGCAGCAGCTGGTAGATTGAATACTAAGCCAAAAGAATATGAATGATCTGTATCACTGATTTACTGGTGGTAATTGTTGAACACGTAGTTATCGGCGAAACACGGTACGCAATGAATCCGTTGTTTCTACATAAGTAAGCAAATACCGAAGTGAGCAAGCGCAGGCTACAAATGAAATCGGGCTATCCGGTGTGTAGCGAAATGGGATTGGTGTCAAACAA